GTGACGACCAGTAATACCTGCAGACACTGCCGATGGCCACCGGGGCAGGATTGCCCCCATGTGGGAACTGCTGCCCTGCCAGAAAAGGCACCGTCCTCCCCGCCCATCCTTTTATCAGTGTCTCCCAAGGACCAGGAGCTGACGCTTCGTTGAAGCATAATGAACGGTACAGCCAGTGCCCATCACAGAGTGAAATTGCTAGTCTTGCAAGAAATGCAGGATTTCAGGAAGTCGATGGAAGTGATGTTGGCGAATTGCCGGAACCACCGCGAAACCACTGACCCGCGAGGGGCTGTCAAGAGTCAGAGCACTTAGCACTTGAGGGAGAGGAAATCCTCGGAGGCTTCAAAATAGAACCATTTGAACTTCAAAGGAGTAAGAGATGACCTTGGGGAAATGGACGATGCCCTGGAATTCTGGCCAAAGGGCATGTCTTTAGGATCCCAGACAGAAGTCCATTGTGGAGGGGGCCGTGACCTCCTGCAGTTAGCAGTTGTGTTGGGTGAGTTAAATGATTGCTTGCAGTGCTGGGTTTGTGCTTTAGTCTGAGAGTTGGCTAACAGTTGCAGTTAATTATAAAAAATGTATAATTTACATTTTGGAAAACATAAGAAAATTGCCGTAGTTGTATTTGCTTTGTCTTTTTTTTTTGTGGTAGAATTTGCATAACAAAATTCACCCATTTAACTCATTTGTCAGTGTACAGTTCAGCAGTATTGATGTATTTACCATGTCGTGCAACCATCACCACTATCTAGCTGGAGAACATGTTTGTCACCTCAAAATAAGACCACGCCTGTTGATGGTCACTCCTCACTTGTCCTCCTGGGCCCCTGCCCCCGGTCTTCACTAATCCTCTTTCCGTCTCTAGGTTTGCCTGCTCCGGACATTTCACACAAATGGGGTCATAAAATAGGAGGCCTTTCGTGTCTGGCTCCTTTCACTTGGCATGATATGGCCAAGGCTCATCCACACGGTAGCATGGGAAATGCCTCATTCCTTTTTCATGGCTGAATAATACTCCGTGGTATGGCTGGGTCACACTTTGCTTATGCATTCATTTAGGTCATTTCCACTTTTTGGCTATCACGACTGAAGATGCTATGAAGATTCATGTAGAAGTTTTTGTTTTCATTTCCCTTGGGTGTACACGTAGGTGGAGTTGCTGGGTTATATGCTAATCCTATGCCAGATGTGTTCTATGTTAATTGTAATATGATGGATCTATGGTGATTCTATATCATGGCTATTTTTAATTGTGAGATTTCAGTCTTTAAGTGAGCCCACTTGGCCTGGTTTTAAGCTTCCCAGGGTACCAGCTCTTCTCTGATATTAAGGACCTCCAGGGGACAGTTGCCTAGGAGACTGGTGTCTCCCCTACTACTGAATCCTGTTGAAGCATCAGTCCTGTTGTTTTTAGGTGGGCGACTGTCTTGTCAGATGCAGGACCCCTGGGGTTTCAGGAGAGACTCCAGACCCTCTTCCCTGCTGAGCACACCTCCTCTCAGTGAAAGTTCCAAGGGCAGGGCCAGGAAAAAGACCAGCTGACTCTATAGGATTTCTTTCAGAAAGGCTCTCATCTCTTTCCTGGCTTTTCCTGACCACTTAAAAAATTAAAAAAATGTTGTCTTCTTGAATTGAAAGCAGACACACAGTATAAATCAGCTAATAGGAGACAGGTGTTTGCTAAAAAGCATTTCCTCCCATTCTTGACCCCTAGCTCCCCAAAGCCTTAAACACACACATGCACACACACATACATACAAATATACTTTTTACACTTTCATATTTCTCTCTCTTGACATAGCTGAATATTGCCTTATGCCAGCAGATATAACCACTCATTTTGCCTGGCTGTATAGTATTCCACACATAGTGTTTCAGGTGGATATGACTCAGAAAGAAGAGAACCCTTGCTTGTGGGCCTTGCACACTCACATGCCACACCACGGGCAGGTCAAACTCCCAAGTCCATTAACCAGGATGCAGGGCTCTGGTCAGAAGTGAGTGGCCACCAGGGCAGAACAGGTGCAACTATTCTGTAGTCTCCCTCAGCCCTCTGTGTACCCAGTGGGGTGTGGGGTCGCTGTCCACATAAGGCAGACCAACTTCCCAGCCAGTTGGGAAAAATTCCTGTTGGGAATTTCAGCAGGGAGCAGCAGAGCACTGAACCAGGGTGAGGCTTTCTGAGAGCAGGCCCTAGTTGCACATTTAGGAAGCTGGCCACAAACATAGGCAAGTCTTGCCAGACATGGGAAGTGCATTTCTGGCTGCCTTTTTTTTATTATTTTGGATTTCTATCATGTTTCTGGAAGAATTTATTCTATTAGGATAGGCTGGCTGCTATGTGAACACCCCTCACATCTCCTGGCTTTCTCCAATAGAAGTTTATTTCTCTCTTGTGAAACACTTCAGTCAGGGTGTGATTCCGGGACTCAGGATTCTGGCTCACCCCCAAGGGCCCAGTCTGTGCCTCAGTGACCCCCTGGAGTCTCTCTTCTGCAACAGAGATTGCCTATGAGGACCACCTGGGGTGTTACCAACCAGGCCTGGAAGTGGGCCTCTCCCTTCTGCTCATGGCCCTTTGGCTGGAATTCAGTCACATGGCTACTCCTAACTGCAAGGGAGGTGGGAAATGTAGTCCAGCGTGGACCCAGCACAAAGGGCAAAGCTAGCTTAACTATAGCAAACGTCTGTTAGCAGCTCGCACTTCTCCCTCAGGGAACGTTTGCAAGTATGGGCTCCACTGGTTTTAAGCCAAATCAAGGAGACTATGGCCAAATCCCCATCCCGGGGGAGAAAATAGACTCAGGGCTAGGTGTTCTAGAACTTCTGCTCTTGGTTCAGTCCCCAAACCCTGTTTTGCCCTGTAGCCCTGTGGACATTGGGGTTGTGTCCAGTTTTTGCCACAAAGACATGTAGCAGTGAGTGTCCTTGAATGTACCTCTTGTGTGCAAATTCACATGTAGCTGTATGGTTTTTATTTTCAAACAGCAGAGCCAAGTCCATTTGTTGGGTAGCTTGCTTCCAGCTCAGGTGTCAAAGCTGCACAGGATGGTGCTCCCTGAGCTGTGTCTGACCAAATAAAGCCCGGGTGTGAGCCCCAGGTTCAACCTCTTTGAGTTTCACGGGGCTGATGCTTGTGTTGGCTGATGCTTCTCGAATGTTTTCCATGTTCCAGGCACTGTCCCTGCTCCTCTCACATCTCTGTCCTCACGATGATCTTCTGAGGAAGGTAGTGTGGTCGTCCCATTTGGCAGATGAGGACACAGAAAAGGACAGCGTGGAGAGGACCGGGTTAGTGAGCAGGCCCCTACCGTGCAGGTGACGGGGAGGCCTGGTCAGAAGACTGCATGGGTGGTGGACACGGCTGGCCTTAACTTAGGTCTGCCCTGCCATGAAATTAGGTTTTCCCATCTGGAAAGTGGGGGTGTTGGCACTGCCTGTCAGGGTTTACCGGACTGGCCACTCTTCCATTGGCTCACTCAGCCAGCCCGGCCCCGGCACTGAGGGTGCAGGAGCACTGTCTGTGTTCTTTGCCTGTGTGAGCCTGAGCTTTGTAGGCCTGGGGGTTGCTGCTGTAACAACGGGGAGCCTGGCCTTGGAAGCGCCGCCCTGGGGTCAGGTGGAAACGACACTGGCAGTTGCATCTCCTCTCTCTTGGAGAGTGTTTCTGGGGAGCCGTGATGAGAAGGGTTCATCACGGGGTCTTCACATGAGCTACATTTGTTGAGGGCTGACTCGTGCCAGGTCAGAGGGGCGTTCCACAGACTGACCGTTTAATCCTTACCGGAGCCCCCTGGGCAAGGTACAGTCACTGCCATTGCACAGAACCAGCGCTCGGAGGCCCAGGCGGCAAGGTGTCCCTGCCCCATGCCTCCCCATCCCTGAGCTGGCCCTGGGGGTGCCCTGGCCAGGAGGGAGCGACTTCGGACGGCGCCTGGGGGGGGGGTAGCTGAGTTTTCTGTAGTGCCGCCAGCAGGATGGGGTCCCGGGGCCCAGGTCCTCCGGGACGGCGCTCCAGCCTGCGGACAGCCCCCCGCCGGCGCCTCTCTGCGTCACCTCAGCAGTCTCTGCCCCACATTCCCGGCGCCGCCTTCCAAGTCTCCCTCCGCAGTGACTGTCGCGGAGCTGGCTCTGGGGTTCCCGGGCTAAGACGGGGGTGGGGGTGGCTGGGCCGGCCCTCCCGCCTGTCCCTGCTCCTGGTTCTGCGACACGGCACGGCTGGGCCGGGCTCGTCAGCACCGTCAGCGCCGCGCCCACGTGCGTGGGGGGGGCGGGGCGGGGAGGGGCGGGGGGTGGACACCCCGGCGGGGGGGGCCTGTGACGGGGCCTGGCCCCTGGCCGCTGGGGGCAGCGGGGACTGGCCCGGGGAGGATGCGGGGCCGGGGCCGCATCTCCGACCCGCTCCACGGCCGCCTGGACTCACCGGAGCTCGCGGGTTGCGGGTTGCGGGTTGGGGGGCCGCCCCCCCCCCGCCCCCGCGCGCCGGGAAGGACCCGCGGAGCCGGCCTGGGGGGGCAGCGCGTCCTCCGTGGGCGCCGGGCGAGCAGCGCTCCTGCTGGGCCTAGGCCGGCGTGCCAGTGATTGGTCCAGGGCGGCCACGTGGCCAGGGCCCAGCCAATGGGGCGGGGGCGCCCGCGTGAGGGCGAAGCGGCAGGCCCCGTCCCTGGCCCCGCCCCTGGACGCGCGACGCCGAGGGCGGAGCGGCCTCGCCCTGGAGCGAGTCTTCCGGGCGGCGGAGCCCCGGGCCGCTGGGGGCCCCGGGCTGGCGGGGAGCGGCCGGCCGGGCGTGGTGCTGGCGGAAGGCGCGTCCTCCCCGCGGTCCGGCCGCTTCCTCAGGGGCCCAGCCCGCCGAGGCCGGCGCCCGCCCGCGGGCCCGCGGGGACCCCTCAGCCGCTGGGGCGCCCGATGTCCCGCCCCTCCGGGAGGCCCCGCTGCCAGGCCCGGGCGAGCGCAGGCCGGAGCGCCGGGGCAGCAGCGGAGGACCCGGCCGGGCGCCCGGCGGACGGCCCCGCAGCCCGAGGTACCCCGGGGGAGGAGACGCCCGTGTCCTCCGGTTTCTCTCTTTAACCGCTGGCTGTGGAGCCTTTTGTGGAGAATTAAACAATGTCACCAGGGAGGCGCGGGGGTGGGGGGGGTGGGGGGGCGGGGTGTGCCCAGGTCGCCGCCTTGGGGTGCCTGGGCGCCCGTGGTGTGGTCCTCGGGGCGGCCCTTCCAAGAGCGGGTCCCTGGAATGGTCAGAAATGCAGGTTCCCAGGCTCCAGCCCGGACCCCGAAATGTGGCGGGGCGCAGGCCGGAAACCTCTTCTCAGGAGCCCTCTGCCGGCTCAGATCGCGGGGTTGAGGCGCGCGCCCTGGAGGGGAGAAGCTGGTTTAGTGGGGGCCCGCCCCCCCCTCCTCGCCTTGGTCCCTGCGCCGGCCCCGGGGTGCCCCGGCTCTCCCTCGGGCCTGCAGGCCGCCCTCGGGGGCCAGAGGTCGGAATCCAGGTGTGTGGGGGCCGTGTTCCTCGGGGCCGCCAGGGAGGACCCCTCTGCCTCTCCGGGCTCCTGGGGGTCCAGCCTTCCTGGGGGAGCTTGTGGACGCCCCCTCGCGTCTCCGGCGCCCTGTCACGGGGCCTTCTCCCTGTGTTGTCTCCGCGTCCTCACTCCTTAGGCGGCCCCAGGCCTCGGATTCAGGGTCCACCCTAAATTCTGCCTGACCTCATCTCAGCATCAGCCTGTGAAGACACCCCCAGGGAGGGCACATGCCGGGTTACGGGCCCTGAATCTTGGGGGGGGGGTGCGCAGTCCCAGTCACTGCTTGGAGCCACCTCAGTGACCCCGGATTCCAGTGACTGCGGTGGGGCTGTCGCGCTACCCACCCTGAGAGTTGGAGCCACAGAGCCTCACTCTGGGTCTGTGCAGGAAAACCTGGGCACCTTTTCCCAGTCAAAACAACGTCCATGAGCTCACGGGGTCGCTTCCACGCCCGCAGCCCGCTGGTTTGGAGAAGCCGTTTCTGGCGGTGGAATTCCTTGATCCCTGCAGGAAACACGGCGAGGCACGCGGGCTGGAAACCCACGGCTCCCCGCGGAGACAGGCCAGGAGACCCCTGCCCAGCTAATTTCTTAGATTCTAGGATTTCAGAGAAGAGAATTTTGAAGCACTTGCTTATATGTATTTTTTCTCAGCAAAAAAGTAAAAGGAAAAAAGGCTTATGACTCTTGCACCAATTTCTATTAATACTTAAAATATAAATATACTTGATAAAAACAGTTCAAAGCGCCCATGAAGTTACAGAATGAACCAGGCATTGCCTCACCCAAACCGTCTTTCCCTCTAAAGATACCACTTATCTATTGTTCCAGAAAAATCTGATCTGCCCATCCAGTCTGTGCGCCTGTTCTTATCTCTGCGAAGGGCGCTCTGTGTTCTAGATGCAAACGGAGATCTGCCACGGAACAGCCGCTGTCTGCATTTATTAGAATTTATTTAAAAAAGCTCCCTGTTGATGGATATTTATGTCGTTTCCAGTTGTTTTCCGTTATACACAATGCTGGTGGGAACATCTCTCCCGTTCTGTGGCCTGCCCTGGCCTCTCTGTCACTTTGCTGGATTCTGAATTTCCTCCGCAGTTTCTCCTTGAGGGCATGTCCCGTTGGAGGTGATGGACGCTCACCGTGAGGTGGACACTCCACTTTAGAGGAATTTGATTTCTTATTTTTCCTCCCCCAAGAATATCTTCTTGGGGAAAAAAAATCAACTTTTGGCTATTCTACTTTGAATCTACGTTTTTATTATTATTTTTTGTTCTAGACAAATGCCGGTAACAATCCATCCCTGGTGATGGAATTTTCCTAATGAAATCCCAGCCAACAAACATCTCCTGATTAGTTGACTTGTAAGTGGCTTGAGGGGAAAGTTTTAGGCCCAAATATAGAATTGACACCTGCTTGCCAAGACAGACAGGAGAGGCTGTAAATATTGGGCCAGGGCTCGGTGAGCACAGCCGCATTATGCGCCTCTCCCGCTCATGAATATGGAAATCGCTCCTGTGTTGTTCTGAGGGCCCAAGCTTGACTTCTTTGGGCAATTAATTAATTAAGGTGTGCGGGGGAAATTGTTTTGTTGTTCTTTTCTGTTTTTAGATCTGGCAAAGTGGTATTGCAGACTGTGAGTTAGCGGGGAGTTTACTGTAGTAGATCCCAAGTTCCAGCCTGTAGTAGTAGGAAAATCTGTTTCCCTTTGGGAGTTTGATTTTTCCTCATCTGCCAGATGGGTGGGTTGGATCGGACCGGACCAGGATTCAGGGAAGCCTCGAAGGCACCTTCTACTTTCTGTGCCGCCCCCCTCTGCTGGTGATGTATAGCCTCCTGCTCCAGGCCTGGACCACAGGCTCCAAGGTGGCTGCCGGGGCTCCAGCTGTCACCTCCACCTTCCAGGAGCCAGCAGGTGCCCTGCTGGCAGGTTCTCTGTGAGCAGGCCTCTCAGACACCCCGCGGGGAGCTGATGATGTGCTAAGGAACCTTCTTCCTGGGGATTTAAGCTTGTACCTCCTGTCCGGGCACGCTTGCCTTCTACACGCCTCCTGCAGACTCTGACACAGTGCTGGCCAAGAACAGTCAGCTCTTGTACTTGGAGAGCTGAGTTTTCTTTGAATTCCGTGGAAGTCAGGAAGGCTGGTAGCGTTGGAAGTCCAGGGCGAGGGTCTGTCTCTCCCACTGGAGACTACATGGTCTTGGCAGTCAGGGCAGTGGGCACTTGCTCTGGAGATCCCTTAGCACAAAGGGCGCATGGTGAGCCCTTTGTCAACACTGGCTGGGGTTCAGTCAGGGTGAGTGGCCGTGGCCGGGTCTACACGGCAGGCATTGGCCTCCCCGGGGGTGGCAGCCACCCCTCCCCTCCTGCCCTTTGCTTTTCCTGATCCCACAGTTCTCCCTGCTCCGCTCGCACCGTCCTATCCTGTGTCTTGTCTCAAAGGGCCCAAAGCTGTTTCCACGGTGGTCTCTTAGCAACCGAAGTAACTCACCCCTGTGAGTGGGAGAGGTGTGGTCGGCTGCGGCACGGGGTGGCCGGGGTTTCTCCAGGCGGGGTCTGGGAGCAGCAGCATTTTCAGCAAGCACTGCAGGTGATTCGGGGGGCCAACAACCTGAGGACCACTTAAGTGATGCCCTTGATGCCGAGATGCTCCAGAAAGACCCTCCAGGTCGACTTCTCCGTCACTGGCACCTGCTGACTCTTCCTGTACTTTCCGTGAGGTGGGGCCGCCCGGTCACGGCTAGCCTGGCTCAGGCCCCTCAGACTCCAGGGCAGCTGTCGCCAGAGTCCGTTGAGGCGGGCAGTGGACGGTGGTGCCCCGGGGAGTGGGTCCGCTGTGTTTCTCACCTCCATCAGGAGGGGAGCCAGAGAGTTCAAGTGAGGCCAGGTGGCCGACGGAGCCGCTCGTTGGCGCGTGTGCTCTGCCCAGGTTGCAGGCCGGCTGGCGGGGCGAGCGAGCGGGAGCCTTGGGAATACATCTCAGCCGTCGTCCGAGCCGCGGCCTGGCCCCGAGGCGGCTGTGCCTGCTCACTCCTCTCCTTGCTCCCCCTTGGCCGCCTCGCCCGTTCTCCGCCAAGGGCCCGCGGTTCCTGGGGGTGACGGTGGGCAGTGGGGTGCGGTGGTGGGGAGATGGGAGGGAGAAAAGGCCGGCCGGGTGTGTCGGTAGCAGCCACTGGGCCCACAGGGCACCGGGGGCTCAGTGTCCCCTCCGAGCTGTCTTGCCCGGGGTCACGAACAGCCCCTGTGGGCCCTGCGCAGGAGGCGCTGGCTGGCTGGGCCGCCTCAGGCTGAGCGTGCCCCGGCGACCAGGGAGCGCAGGTAGACAGGAGGTTCCAGGAGTGGAGGGGAGCCCGCCGGTGTGGCAGGTGACCTCCCAGCGGCTGTGGCGTTGCTCTGAGACCCCTTGGGGCTGGCCTCTCCAGGCGGGGCAGTGTCCCTGGGAGCTGCCCCCTGGGAGCTGGCCTGGGCACGGCGCGCTCCGGCTGGTGGTGCTCAGTGGCTCTGTGTGCCGGCGGCGCGGCTCGGGGGTGGGGTGGGGTGGGGTGTCTGGGCAGGAGTCGGAGCCCCCAGCCAGCCGGCCCCTCCGCATCTTGCCCGGCCCGGGGCCCGGCCGCGGCCGCAGGGCTGCCGTCTCCAAGGCCCCAGATGTTGCACTCTCTGCCTGAGGATGTCACAGGCGCCTGAGCCGCAGGCAGCACGGAGCAGCCGCTCCCGTTTAGTTTTCAAAACCAGACTTGATCGTGTTCGGGTTTTGTGCTTCTTGGTTTGTGTTTGTGTTTTTTATTCTTTCCAAAAGAGACCGGTTCTAAGAGTGAAGACGTTGGGGAATTTCTGGGCGGTTATTACCTATCTTCTCTCACGTGGCCGCCTCTGTTTGTCAAAACAATCTCCAATTCAAGCTTCGTTCTCCGAGCTGCGCCAGCCTGGTTTCTGTCCCCAGCCCCGCTCCTTCGCGCCTCAGGCCGTTCGCCGAGGTTCATTCTCAGGAGCATTAGGTGGTGAGTTTGCATTTGTTCATTTATTACGGTGCATTCAAATGATTTTGTTTATAAGCCTGGAAGTTCTGATTTTTTGGGGGGTGCGGGGGAGGGCTTGGCCGTGAGGAAGGTTTTGTTTGGAAAGCTTTGAAAGTCTGAGCGAGAGACGGAGGAAGAAGATGAGAAGAGATGGTCCGAAGGGGGAGAAAGCGGGGGTCGGGCAGGTCCGCGCGTATTCCGCCCGCGCGAGGGTCTTGTAGACCGACACTGACGTGAGCGTGTCGCTCACGGAATACTGGTTTTGGAAAGTTTTCTTGCAAAACTCTGGCTTTTTGCACTTCAGAGTGTTGAGGATAATTAGAAAGAAGGGTGTCGGGATGCTGATATGAGCAAGGGGAAGCAGAACAGATGGTCGACCTGAAGGAGATGCTTTTATTCCTTTGTTAGGAAAATACCAGCAGAATTCTACACGGCCTCTGATTCTGTGCCAGGAAAGAGGAACGATATGAACCTTGCCCGCAGGAGACTGA